TACACGTGTACTGTCTATACACACATATCAATAAATTACTTCCCTTAATAAATTAATTAAAAGACGGCGATACGAGTCAAGCGCGGTACGTGGTGCGCAAATAGAGAATTAATAGTTACAGAAGTAACGAATTACAATGTATATACGTATATACATATATTTAAACTGCGCGCCGATTATTTGTCGGACTTGAAACACAGCTATCGTTGGAACATTAATACCCTTCCCTCCCCGGAATTAAATCTGTACGATTTAATTATTTTAAAAAACTGTAAAGAAATTATTGCGAAAAATATTACCTCAGCCAGGATTCGAACCTGGAACCTCCCTCATTCCGTGAAGGGCGTCGTACCAATTCGACTACCGAGGCATGTGGTAATATTTGTCGCAATAACCGCGTTGATAAGTTTAACAAGCGCATGTTTCAGCTTGCGTAAATTCAAATATATCATTAGACTCGTGAAATGTCAATAAATTAATGTATATACGTATATACATTGTAATTCGTTACTTCTGTAACTATTAATTCTCTATTTGCGCACCACGTACCGCGCTTGACTCGTATCGCCGTCTTTTAATTAATTTATTGACATTTTACGAGTCTAATGATATATTTGAATTTTACTTCCCTTAGCACTGACATAAACTAGTAAATTTCTCATACTTTTCTTGTTCTTAACTTTTAAATAAGCAATGACCGCCGATTAAGTTATAAAGAAAAGTTACTCAAGATTACGTCCTTGACAACATATGTCAAGGTCATTGAAATCAGTGAGGTTGCCCTCTTTCTGTATAATTACCATATTTTTTATTTTTTGATTATTAAGGTGATGTAAAAAAAAAATTTTTTTTACCGATAGTTTAATTCATACAAGAAGAGGTTAAATAAATAATAACCATGGTTTAAAAAAAAATTACAAAATATATTTATTTATCTTTATACATCACAGCAAATGTTTGCATTTTAAAAAATTATGTTTTTTTATAAATTTGTTTAAAAACTTTTCGATATCTACATATATCATCAATCATCTCATGATAAATATTTAACGTTGAAATGTCATTTAATTTTGAGACATTGTTGATCTTACAATTAGATAGATTTTTAATCTCCTAATGCCCGTTTTCATCAATGTCGTTTAACTTTAACCTTAGTTTAACCCACTCTTTGTCTCTTTCTAACAGTCTCTCTTAGAAACAGACGAAGAGTGATGGCGTTTTCGATTTACTACTCGACCCGACTCGGGTCGCATCAATGGACGTGGAATACATACATAGATATGTATGTATTCCACGTCAATGATGCTAGAGTCCTGTATACATGATGCGACCCGAGTCGGTTTGAGTCGCAAATCGAAAACCCTATGAGTCAAACTAGGGTTAAAGTTAAACGACGTTGGTAAAAACGGCCATAAATGTCGAAAATGACCGACCGTTCGAATATGAGAATGCTTAAAAAATGTGGTCATTAAAAGTTTGACCAATTTCCTGAATTGAGAGAAAATTGGTCAAACTTCTGGCTTCTCTTTTAATAATAATCAAGATTAAGCGACCCAACTGGCCAATTTCTATTTATTTGTCTCACAACGTTTCGACCCCGATTGGGTCCTTCTCAAGTGAGATTATACATAATTACGCAACAATATCATGCGTCGCAAGACGTTGCGCCCAAACCACATCATGTGAACGCCACGCTAGAACGATACATCGTGAGAACTTACATGTTAAGTGCGTCAAAAGAATAAAATAACAAGTTTCTGAGAGTCGCCACGCAAATTCCGAAGAAAAAAGGACTGTCCATTTTCTCCACTGGCTCGATTCCGTGCCATATTCAAAGTCACAATAATAAATGCTAATTACAATAAGACGTATTCCGAAAGTAAGGAATAACAAACCAGATCACTCTAGATTAAAATTTACGTATGAAATAGAAACAAATTGTGCATTAAATTTCTTGGACACCACAGTGATTCGAGAAAAGAATACATTGATAACGAATTGGTACAGAAAACCAACGTTCTCGGGACGCTACATCAATTATTTCTCGAATCACCCGTTTAAATATAAAATTAACATTATAAGGAATTTAGTGGATAGGGCAATTTTACTCTCGGATAATCGGTTTCACTCTAATAACATTTCAACAGTTAGAAAAATACTTTTAAACAACTGTTTTCCGATTGATGTCGTCAATAAATACATTAATGTCCGTCGAGGCGAGCTAACAATAAAAAAATTGAATAATCCGATTGATGAGAGTGCAGACTTGCAAGCGCGGGGAGATTCTGTCAACTTTGTAATGATACCGTATGTCAAAGGCCTTAGTGCGAACATTAAGCGTACAATGAGGGAAAGTGCTGTGAGGGGTGTCAAATTTAAAACACTTTTAACGATTCCGAGGAAGCTAGATTGTGTAATTAAGAAAAAGAAGGACAAATTACAACCTTACAGGCAGACCAATATTGTATCTAAGTTAGATTGTGTTAATTGTGACTCTTGTTACGTCGGACAAACAAAGAGACACCTAGAGACTCGCATAAAAGAACATCGGAGCGATGTCAAAAAGCACGTAGATAATCATTCGGTTGTAACTAAACACCGTCTCACTCAAAACCACGATTTTGATTGGCAAAATCCGAAAATCCTGTATAGCGAGAGACATTTCAGAAAAAGAGAGATTTCTGAAATGTTTTTCATTAAAAAGAATAAATACACTGTAAACCTCCAGAAGGATACGGAGAATTTGCCCGCGATATACGATCGTGTTATTGAGGCAGTATAATAAGTAATAAAGTCGGATCTGTTTCTATTGTATTGTTTATGATCTGGTTTGTTATTCCTTACTTTTGGAACACGTCTTATTGTAATTGGCATTTATCATTGTGACTTTGAATATGGCACGGAATCGAACCAGTGGAGAAAATGGACAGTCCTTTTTTCTTCGGAATTTGCGTGACGACTCTCAGAAACTTGTTATTTTATTCTTTTGACGCACTTAACATGTAAGTTCTCACGATGTACTTGCGATATGTCTCCAACTTTTTCATAATTTATATCTGACATACTTATATTGACATTTTATTCGTTCTAGCGTGGCGTTCGCATGATGTGGGCGCAACGTCTTGCGACGCATGATATTGTTGCGTAATTATGTATAATCTCACTTGAGAAGGACCCAATCGGGGTCGAAACGTTGTGAGACGAATAAATAGAAATTGGCCAGTTGGGTCGCTTAATCTCGATTATTATTTTTATCTACGCACTGGCGGATCCAATAATTTATTCCATTGTTCTTCTCTTTTAAGTACAATATTACATGTCTCAATTGTAGTTTATTGCTCAACTTATTTTTATCTTCTTCCACTAAAAGAAATCGCTTTTCAGCCTTTACTTTCACTTTCTTCGATTTAGTTTAAAAAAAATTATCTGTTTATGAGTCTCAGGATTTCCATACCTATTCATGAGTGAGGTTTGGATTTATCTAGACCATCCAGAGGGGTAATGCTGTTTGAAATTGTTGACAGTGCCTGATTTGGACTTTTATTTATGGGGACATTTAAAGAGCATGGTGTATGCCACATCAGTTGACACATTGGATGAAAGCTGATACAGAAAATTGAAAACTTTTGTCAATAAATACGAAATAAAACTAGAATTTTTAAACGTTCAATCTTTAATGAGAAGCGTGCCGAATTGTGTGTTGAAATGAATGGAGGGTACATCAAACATCTGTTGTATATTAAATTTGTTTTTTATTTATTACAGCAGAAAATGCTTTATAACTTTGAAATAAATTGTTTTTGGAATAATGCTTGTTAAGACTTTTTGGTATGTTTTTACAAGTACTATACATACTCCTAAAATTTAATACCATTTTTTTAGAACACCCTGTATACAGGGTGTTCGGAAATTCAACCAACAAACTTTCAGAGATTGTCGGAGGCACTATAAAGGTCATTTTTTGCTAAAGAACCTGGAGTCGGAAATGTATCGTTACATCGCTACTGCTTATGAGTGATGTTATGAGAAGAGTGTCTTAGGCCGGTATTCATAGTTGAATCTTATATTTAAGACCATCTTAAGTACGATCTTAAGATGTTACGAACCAATCACAGAGCCATATTAGCATCTTAAGACATTACTTAGACAGTCTTGAAATTAAGATCCGACTATGAATACGGACCTTAGCTTAGAACAGGTGCTCGAAGTGTCGTCTCCCATGATCTTTGCATAGACGATAGCGCCGAACGATGGACCGGCAGACTCTGGTGAACACACTAGGATCATCCTTGATTTCACCTCAGAGCCTTTTACCGCTGACGTTCCCGACATCATAGCGATGTAACAATGCGTTTCCGACCCCGGGTCCATTTGCAAAAAGGTGATCCTTATGATGCTCCCGACAATCTCTGAAAGTTTGTCGGGTCAATTTCCGAACATCCTGTATTATACATATATCGTTTTTGCGTAAAAAGAATTTAATAAGATTTGTATTCTTTATTTTATTGAACGATTATCATTGAAACAAACTGTCATTTATTTGTATCTATACAAATAAATGACAGTTTGTTTCATTAATTGTTTTCACCTGATGAAAGTAATATTTTGAAAGTATATAAGGAGTAGGAAAATTTCGATCATCATTTATCGAAATAAGATATCGTTTATTTGAATCAAAATACTTGCATAATTTTATAAATAATTTTCGATGTAGGCTGTTAAAAAAATCAAAGACATAAGTATTAACAAAAGAGATTTATAAATTGGTAACACAATTATAAAGTATTATCTTACTAATTACTAACATATTGTTTATAATTTATTAATTATTTTTAAAAAATTGTCTAAATTGTATTGGGTTGGCAAATAAGTTCGTTCGGTTTTTTTCCATTCAAAACCAGTCAAAAAACCGAACGAACTTATTTGCCAACCCAATATATTGTGTATGAGTGTGTGTGTGTTTAAATTTTTATTTTAATTTTTTGAAAAAATATTTGCAGACGACCGTGGAAGAATTGGTTACAGCAACAGCTTATTTTGATTTATTTCTTCGATCTGTAACCGATCCTGGTTTGTTGAAATCACTTGTTAGATTTCTATTAGAAGATAATTACGATGACTGTAGAATACTGGATAGCTTAATACAGAGGATTTCTTCTCGATCGAGGGTAAATTACAAATCGTTCATTCTTACAAACCATCTGACAGAATATTTTTTAAATATTAATTTGTTTCTAACATTTTACTTTTCAATTTAGTTGTGCATAGTTACTCTGGCATTGTTTGAAACTCTGGTTAATTTAAATTGCGAAGATGTTATGTTGGAATTATGTTTGGGTGCATTAAATCCATGCTCACATGTAATGCTTTCTCAACGTAGCCGACTGAGGGATATAGATCCTTTTGGACGTGCAGCAGAAAAATTTTTATCCCTAACACCATGTTGCTGCTCCGTATTTACATTGGAGTCGCAAACGAATTCTTTACCTAGCACCGTATCATCCACATATGATAAATATGGATATATCCCATCCGATTCCATGAAATCGCTACCAGCATCGATAAATTACGGTACAAGATTATCAGATAGTTTATATGGAAATTATCATGCGTATCTCTGTGATGCCAGACAAAAGATCAAAGCTTGCCGTAATGCGTGTTCCAATTGGTCTTACCAGTACGATGGTAATTTACTTCGAAATAGCAATACTAGTAGCATGACTACGTTGATAGATGAAAATATTATATCTGATCAATCACAGAAAAAAACAGAAGAATCTAGAACATTGGAAATGATTAAAAATACAATAAAATCGTGCAAAAATGATGATGGTACATCACTGGATAATGTATTACTTAATATTCAATCTTTGTTAGAGGGCAAAGATTTAAACAGCAATGAACATAATATTAAAAACGAATTGAATACGGATATTGCACTATCTCTCGACGAACAGGCGCAATTGGATGCCGATATTGCAGAGCTATTGAACGAAAGTATCGGAATGACAGAATATACAGAGGAGACCTTAGATAAGAAGGAATCCGATAGCTGCATAGACGATTCGACTGCGGCTATGAATTCGCTTATGTCACTGGGTGAGAGCAGCGGCTATGAAAGTTTTGCATTTAAAGGATCGCCAGAGTCAACGCCAGATAACGAAACCAGCGAGGATCGTATGAGTGAACCTGAAGAAACACACATTGTAATTGAGAAAGAGGTTGATGATGTCGCTATGCGTAATGTCGGAAAATCGAATCCCCCAACTGCAGAAACGTCAAGTAAATTAAATAAGGACATTTCGTATCGACAAGATGTGTTTAATGGACAGCCAAATGTCGGCATATTTTTAGATGTGGTTTTACGGAAACTCGAATGTATGACAAGCAATAATTTGTATGTCAATTTACACCTCACGGGCCTCATTAGCAGATTGGCGATATACCCGCAACCTTTATTGCAATCGTTTCTGCTGAACCATTCTCTTGTATTTCAACCCAGCATCAGATCTTTATTTCAGGTATATATTTGTCGAGTTGTGATTGCATTTATGATTAAAATGTATTATAAAATATTAAAATAATTAATAATCGAAAATTAGGCGATCCAACTGGCAACAAATTCTTCTATATTTAAAACTTACAACGTTTCGACCATAATATCGTCCTTTTCAAGTGAGAGATTTACAAACTTTAGCAAACATATACGCAGAAATGTACGCAGAAAACATCGTACGTGGCCAGACGTGTATCCTAAAGCCTGATCTACAATGTGCTCTTTGCTTCCTGTTTTTTGCTCTTAACCTGTTTGCGACTATCCCGTATTTCGCAATTGCGTCGCGTAACGCGATGTTTTTTGTTCTCTGTCGCCCAAGATAAAAATTGACGAACTTCAGAAGAGACAAGAAACATCACGTTACGCAACGGAATTGCGAAATACGAGATAGTCGCAAAGAGGTTAAGAGCAAAAAACAGAAAGCAAAGAGCACATTGTAGATCAGGCTTAACTGGTCCTAACGTACGATGTTTTCTGCGTACATTTCTGCGTATATGTTTACTGGAGTTTTTAAATCTCTCACTTGAAAAGGACCAGATTATAGTCTAAACGTTGTGAGTTTTAATATATAGATGAATTTTGGTCCAGTTTGGTCGCCTAATTTTCGATTATTAAATATTTACTGGCAAAGAAAAAATTTCTGTCATTATTAAAATAATTATTTTTTTATATATTTTTTTATATAAAACAAGTGAATAAAATAAACAATAATTAGTTTATTTATAGAAAGATTAAATTAAAGCTAATACAAATTTGTAAGCGTAAATTTGTGTAATATAATTATATTTTTGGTAATTATCTAGTTTAGCAGAGCAGGCTCCGATGACCTTGACTTTGACATATGTTGTCAAAGTCACCCTCCTGAGTGAACTTCAGAAGATCTTAGCCGGCGGTCGTCTTTTATTAAAAAATTATTAACAAAAAAGTTTGAAAAATACAGCAGTTATTTTGAATATTGAAAGGCATAAACGGCTAATATGTATGTGGAAATAGTACTGTATGAACAAAAAAAAGTCATTTAATGCAGTGAATTATTAATATATTAAACAGTATTTTGTTAAAGCAGAGAATACTTGGTATAGAAAAATATATATACAATTTTATATGTTAGAAAGCATGAATACAAAGTATTCTCTGCTTTAACCATAATTGTATGATTATAATTGTAAATATTATTTATTGAATGCGGGGAAGGTCCACCCCTGCCCACACGTGTACATATGTAGAACGAGGTCTATAAGGGAAGTAATTTACTAATATGTATATAGACAGT